CAGCTGTCCTGTGATCTTACACGGCCTCTTAGAAAACAAATGGAAATGATCAGATGTGTAATTTTATCTGCTGTCTAATTTTGCTTATTTTCTAAGAGGCCACAGTTTCATATACGTGCACAATAAAGGCAATATTCAAACACCTCATGCATGTGATGGTTTCTCTTCCTAATGACGGCATGGGTAGGCCCTCAAATGCTAATTCCACAGACGCAGCCCAGTAGCTCATCATTCCGTGTCTCCCCACACATTTTCCCCGAGCGCTTTGCCCCGCAGGAGGAAGAGCCTCCGTTCCAGGCTCCGAGCAGCCGAACGAACCTGAACTACCCCCGTGAGAAATGAAGCGGTTGCCTGCGGGTTGTCGCCAGCAGCCCCCGGCCCGTTGCGAGCTCACGCTCCTGCACAGACGCGGTTGGGACGCCCTCGGGTCGCTCGGCTTTGGGAGCGGGGTGACAGAAGAGGTGTTGGCACTGTTGGCAGCCACAGAAGGAATGCTGCGGTACAGAAGAGCCACGAGACCTGAGGTTCACTTTCCTGGGAAGGGTAAGGTAGGAGAGAGTCAGCGGGATGCCTGGATGGCTACTGCACGTACTCTGAGGACAAGCACGAACTGCCATCTCCAGCGCCGGCATCAGCACATTTCACGAACTCACAGCTCTCAACAACAACTGCCTGTGACACAGAACAAAGCTGGAAAGACATCAAGTATCAGTAGAGTTATCCTCTGTAAGCAAACAGCAGCTCTGGCATTTTGGAAAACAGCATCGGCTTTAGAAATGCCCAAGGATGCCAAAAAGTTCTCAGAAAACACAGAGGAATGAATATTCTCCCCAAGTATCGCTTCCGCCACACGAACCTTTCCGCAGTTACCAACGGTTTCCATTCCCAGAAATGAGACTCCGCGTCCCAGTGGACCATCAACGGCTGCACGAGCTGTGAGAAGGCAGATTGATGCACGCTGAGACGAGAACGCGCCGCATTAGTATGCAAAGTATTTGCAGATCGTTCGTCATTTCGACCCAGACATGAACAACCTGATGTTGGTGAATTACTGGGCATCAAAACAAGAATGTGATCTAAAGGGTAGAGGGATACAGTCAGGGTTACGCACTTCATTGTATTTTATAAAAACCACATAGGTAGAAGAAAAATTTAAACTACATTTAAATTTAAATTACGTTTAAAAAATTTAAATTACATTTAAAAGTAAATAAACAAAAGGAACCCTCCTTGCCCCGAGGTCCAGACACAGGCTGAGCTACCTCCTCCCAACGAGCCTTTGTGATCCACGATCACACATGGCAGCATGAAAGGCATTGCTAGAAATCGCCCATCAGCAAGAAGCAAAACCGGCTGGTTTTTATTGTCCCGACTGAATTAAATGCAAAAAGGCAACCAAAGATCTTAAGATAATTTAAAACCTGTTTAGCTGTAGTTATCTGTGAGGTTACTTATAATGTGAACATGAATCCTGCGACTTCTCTTTACATCCACACGCACAAAACACACACAAAAGGAGTCAGATCTGCAGGGCTGAGCCCTGGCACGTCCTGCTGAGCCCAGAGCAGGATGGATCTCGAACCTCTGAACATCGAGAGAAAAAAAATGGTTGAAGTCCCACAGAACAGCCAAAAGCAATTTTACTGAAAAAACTATTTATTTGTTTAACATAAAATATCTAGTGTGGAATTAAACTATCCAGTGTTGCATCGGTAACACAGGAACAAAAGGAGTATTTTACAACAAGCTTGATATACACAAAGTCTTGAAACATTAAAACGTATCCAGCTTAGAAACTGTACATTCAAACACAGGAAAACATTCAGTGTTCTTTCGGCAAGCATTGAGGAATAATCAATCATTTCAACAAAGCGTACTGGGAGAACCGTTTTTCCCACAACAGCTTTGCACATTGATTCATCAGACAGTCAGCCAATCTCCAAGTCCCACCATTCTGTTTGCTCTCAATTTGAATTCAAAAGTATCTGACTTTATTGTTTTAAACGAACTAGCTATATTAATTCCTTCATTGGTGAAAAATACTCGCCAGTGTGTAAAACAATCTTTGGAAGCTTATTATATACATCAGTGGTGCTGCCCTATTAACAAAATACGACTCGTGATTATTTATAGGCTGTTGTGTATCAACCCCAACGTTCTTCGTTTTTTCAGCGAACGATCTAAAACATCCTTCCGCCAGCAGGAACATGCAAGGACCTGCAAAACCTCCACTTCAGTTTCTTCGGTGCCCAACAGGCTCCGACCGATGGCAGCGAGGTGGGATCAGCCATGCTGGGCTCCTGCCTGCCTTCCTCCGCTCAGCGGATCCAAAGCCCATGAGCACTCATGGGAGATGCTCCCCGACTTCCTTGAGCTCCAGATCACCCTTTAGGTATCACTGTCTCTAAAGCGAAGCCGCAGGGCACGGAGTTGTGTCAGCAAGGCCCATCTTGGCATTTATGTCATTGCACCCATTCTCAATGCAGAATTCATAAAAGCAAAAACGCCTTCGATTTTTTAATGCTGTAAACGTCACCGGTTAAAACCGAACCACTCAACGGCATCGAAAGGTTTCGTGTTACCTATAAATCTTTGCCTGGGGAGGATTTCATCTGAAGTACACACCTGTGCAAATTCGTGAGACTTACAAACTCCACCTAAAACTCTCTGAACGCACTTCGAAGGCCGTTGCAACTCCGGCCCTTACAACCGTTGAATCACCGACTCGAAACAGTGAAGCGACACGGGAGCTTTAACGCTGGAAAAGCAGCGTTTTAAGTAGAGGTTAAAAGGCTCTTGCTACCAGCC